AGGAGGGCATTCTAAAACTCAGAGGTAGTGGAGAGGCATTAGACATGAGAAGAGCCAGTACTGACCTGCCTGCTCTAGAAACACACAGGCAGCACCAACCTCCACAAATGGGGCAAAGCAACCAGATCTCTGCACGAAGAGATGTAATCAACACTGTAATTAGGGGAGGGAGGGAGAGAGAGAGAGAGAGGGAGAGATTTGTTTCTTGTTTGGACAATACAGAGCCTACCACACCTGTTATAGATCAGTGACGCAGATCTGATGACGTTTCTTTAATCTACCACTTTCCCGTAGCTAAGCTTAAAAAAAAAAAAAATAAGAAAAGAAAGCACTGCAAAAGGTCAGGTAAACCATTAAACTTCAGGTGAGCCATTGTCACTGAGGTGGCACAGTCACAGAATATCAGCACTTCACAATCCAGGTGAAATGAGCCTTTCTGTCTCAGTTATAGAAAAAACCACTCATTAAATGGACATTGTCATAACGATTGTCACTGAGGTGGCACAGTCACAGAATATCAGCACTTCACAATCCAGATGAAATGAGCCTTTCTGTCTCAGTTAGTTATAGAAAATACCACTTATTAAATGGACATTGTCATAACTGTGGGAGCCCTTCTGCTTCTGTCTGCCTGGAGGATTTGCAGATGTAGCTGAGGTTTGTAATGTACAGGCTCCTTGTTCACAGCCTGCTGTTTAAAACAATGCTCGTGGTGCAGAACACCATCACCTCCAAATCCCACAGCCACCAGCAACAACACCACCTCCTACACATCTCCTCGGGAATCACAGCACCAGAGAAACAACACTGCAAATGTGAGAGGCTCCAACAACACTAATCTCAACTTTTGCAACTTGAGAAATCACAAAAAAGTCATGAAAAAAATCTCTAATGATGCAGGCACGCTGTTCTTTCTAGCTGACATACCTAAGCAGCAAATTGCTGCTGCAGGCAGTGGAGCACTGATCTTATCACTCCTGGCACTGTTGGTTCTGCACCCAACCTTCCTCTCCCCTTCATTGTTTTCAAGTATTCTCCCCCTCCCCTTTATGTGGCCTGCCAGCTGGGCCAGTTCCCTTGTGAAGTGACCACACGTACACCGACCCAGAAGCTAAAATAACTCACATCAAAAGCAGTAAGAGTGCTTTGGGACAGTGCCCACGCACATTTTCATCACTGCAATTCAGTAGGTGCTAGCTCCAGTAAACATTACATTTCCCACCCTCCTAAAACAATGCTGAAGAGGGGGGAAAAAGAAGTAACAACTGTGGGATTAGAGTCTGTACAAGAAAATGTATGCTGCAACACCAGACACTGGTGAGGTAGCAAGTGAGCTGTGCTCAGATTAGGGAGCTACATAATAGTGGTGTTTTGCTAAATTAAAAAAAAAGCAGCTATTATTTTTATTTAGTCGTTCCAGACAAACATTAATTCACATAATAATAATTTTCTCATGTATGTCCGATTATAACAATATAGACATTCCCTCCCTCACAAAATTCTGTGCAAAGTTATTAATACATTTTCACCTAGCCCAACAACAAATAGAATTATCCATTATAAGCCCAGTCATTCACTGGAGTGAAAGGTGTAACACTACATGGGACACATTTTTGGGTGGAAAATAGGGGGACAAGTACTCGTTCTCCTTTTCCCTGAATGAAGAAGAATGAGTTTGCTTAAAATATGTTCTTTTTAGATAGTAGATGCAGGCACAACTGCAAATCTAAGTGGCAGAAAGCAAGCAGGCTCTCCTATTAGCTCTGCCAAAATTATTTTATCTCAGACTGAAGCTGCTCTCCATCTCAGCCTTCCAGAAGTTTGGACAACTGCAAAGTGCTCTGGAGTTCATGACCCAGCCCACACATTTGAGGACTCACAAGGTATCTGAGAGGAGGGAAGAATGGCAACTCTTTCCCCTTATTAAAAAATGCAAGAAGTAATTTATTTTCCACCAGTTAGCAGAAATTGCTAGCAGAAATATTTCTGTTAGCAGAAATCCTTGCTGAAGAAGCAAAGGCCTTTATCCTCCACAGCTGAGGGAACCTTCCAAGTGTTTTTCTGCTCTGACTTTTCCCATAGGGGCAGGTCCCTGTTATGAAGCTCGAGTTGTCTCTTCCTTGTCAAACAGGGGTAAAAATGCTTTGGAAACCCCTCCTGAGGTCACAACAGCAGCTTCATAGGGACAGGGCTGCAGTCCCTAGCAGGAGGGTGACAATCTTTAGGGACAACACATTTACATGCTGGATATCAAGCTCTTACTGTTATTTATACAATATTATTTATAAATATAAATATATTTAACAACATCATATATGCCTATATATTATATATTATTATAGAATATATGGTATTATATATAATATTATACAATACATAATATTGTATATAATAGATAATATTACACAGTATTATTTATATAGTCTATATACCATTCACATACCAGGATATTTATTACAGATGATAACTTTCTCAGTATTTGTCAAAAAAAAACCCAAAGAAACAAAACAAGTTATAAATCAAATACTATAAAATATTTCTACTCCTCATGCTGTAATGTTTATTATTATTTAGCCTATGTAAAGTTTGTTCCAAAGCAAAAGAATGAAGGAGGACACTTTAAACCCAAGAGCAAAGAATCCCATTCAATAAATGCAAGAGGTTACTGCCACCAAAAGGAAAACAGTGGGATTACTCCACATGGGAAGGAACTATCACCGGTGGACTAATACTGTAAATTAAACTTATGTAAGAAGCAGACAAATTTAGTGTTTTAATCAGGATGAAATAACCTTTGAAAAAGCTGGGGGTGAGAATTCACAAAAGCTGCTCTCGCCCAGCTTCTCAATGCTTTGCAGCCTTAAGGGACAGGAGGCTGGGAAGGATGAAGGCAGAGGGCAGAAAACTATTAACAGAACACTGAAATCATACGGCTCTCCAGGGCCAGCCTTCCTAGGGCTTTGTCCTGCCTTCCAGGATACTCTACACAAGAAATTAGATTTTTAAAAAGTAAAATTTAATTTATAATTAATTAATTAAAATTAATTAATTAAAATTTATTAATTTAATAAAGACACATGATTTCACTACAAAATAAATGTAGCACTTTAGAAAGAGGTCAGCTGCTTCATGCATATTCAGCAGATGGATGGGCAGCAAAGGAAACAGGTGGAAGAAGTAGATCATAATGACATCCTTTATAAACATAAACCCAGCACTACTCTCTGTATAATCCAGGGGGAGAAAAATCTCATTTTTTTACTGCTACAGTAAATATGACAGATTTTTTATTCATCCCCATGCTTTGCACAGGCGGAATGCAGAACAGCACTGGGAAGTCCTTCACCTTGTTTAAGCTCAGATCCAGTGAAAGCAAGAGGTGGATTTATGGTCCAGATCAATGTCTACTGCTTAGAAGACACCAATTACTACACCAATTAAGTCACGGGGCAATCAGTCTCTCTGCTTCTAGACTTTGTCATCCTTCCTCCACCACCCAGAGGAAGAAGGAAAAAAAGAAAACCACAAAAAGGTAACAAAGATTTTTTCCCACAAATTCGTAATTTTCACCATCAAGTATCAAAACTGGAATAAATAAGCTCAGAAATTCACATGGCAATTAACAAGGAAGGGAAAAGGCAGATTTTGCATAAAGTTTTGCTTCTTCAGGTGCTGAGGGGACACCAGCACCCAAGAGGTGCACCCAAACACCAAGATGTTGTAAGCACAGAGGATCACTTTTGGAGTTTGCTGCTACCAGCAAATACAGTGCTACACAAAAACCCTCCAGGTTTCAAGTCAGAGAGATACCAAAAGAGGAAGGTAAGTTTAAGCCTTCCTACTTCCAAAGCACAGTCCCAGGATCAACCTTTCCCCCAAAACTGGCAGGTGTGAAGGAAAGAGCGACCAGAAGGCCAAGGGGCTCTTTTAGGATGTTTTAGAGCACAGATCCTACAAGGATTCTTAGAACTTAGGTGTCACTTCCTTTTAAGTTACCCACAAAGCCCTGAAGGAATCAGTTTTTAGGATTCAGGAGCAGAATTTTTTAGGATTCAGAGGCCTGGGCAATGCCACTCACTGCAGGCTTCTCAGGGCACCACATGAATCTGATCATTAAATAAACGACAGAATCTTCGTAAAGGCAGAAAGCGAGTGACATCACCCTCATCAAATTCCAAATCTCTCGATTCCATTTAAAACTACCGAGCACGTTTATAAATCTGGCCAATCCAAGCGTGCATTCACCCACAAGGTGGCAGTGGCCATGCAAGGATTTAGCACCTGGAGGCTCCCGGAGCCACATACAATCCTCTTCACTTTGAACAGAGACCAAAAGGCTCTGTTACGGGAAAAAATATATTCTCTCTTGCACAAAAAGCAAACTCTGTTGACTCAGTAAACTGGCTTGCCTCATAATTGGTGCTGCTTTTCTTTTCCTTACAAGAAAACTGCAGTTCTTCTCAGAAAGGAACAGGTTCGTGTTCCCACGAGCACAGACCGCAGATGTGCCGCCCTTCCCCTGCACAGCGCGGGCCGGATCCGGGAGCTTTCCCGAGGGGCTCCGGCTCCCGAGGGGCCCCGGCTGCCGAGGGGCTCCGGCTCCCGAGGGCGCGGGATGGCGGAAGGAGCGGAGTGTTCTGGCACGCACCACAAGAACCACGGAGCCCAGCTCCCGGCCCCGCACAGCCCCATCCCCAGGAGCCACACCTTGCTCTGGAGAGAATTGTCCGAGCGCTCCTTGAGCTCTGCCAGTGCTCAGCGCCCAGCCCCTTTCGCTGATACCCAGCCACCCCTCCCCGGCACAGCTTCTGGCCGCTCCCTCGGGTGCTGTGCCGGCCGTGCCCGCTCGGGGATGGAGCCGGAGCTGTCACCGCGGGCTGGGCAGGGCAGTGCCCCCGGAGCAGGGGATGCCGGACACCGGCGGGAGTGCGGCCGACGGAGCGGCTTTCCCGACCGCGGCCCCTTCCCCCCGCAGCGCCCCGGGCCCGCGCCGCCGGTACCTGCAGGAGGCCGCCCATCTTGGCGCGCAGAGCGCGGAACTCCTCCGGCGGCGCGTCGGGGTAGAGCTGGGCACGCAGCAGCTCCTCGGTGATGCCCGCGGTGCCGTGGAAGGCGGCCTGGGCGATGCCGCTCAGCAGCGCGCTCAGCGGCCTGCAGCCCTCGGGCGGCGGCGGCGGCTCGGGCGCCGCCATGGCGGGCAGGGCGCGTCCGCGCTACGGCGGCCGCGCGGGGCCAGAAACGCTCCCCAGCCAAGCGCCAATGACATTCACCAGACCCCCACAGCAAGCAGCTGGGCGGGTACAAGAAATATCCGCTCTCTGAGCTGTTTTTTTCACGGAAAATACTCCTCTACTCATGTATTTTAAGGAAACGTCCAGAGGCTTTGCCCTCTATCCTTTGCTGAAAGATGCAGGGTTGACCATTAAAGACGGGGCCCGTTAAAACAAAGGTACTAATAAAGAGCAAGTGTTTTCTCTGTGCACCATTTTATACAAGTTTCAATATAAAGAAAGCATTAAAATGTTTTGTCTATACAAACACACTGTCACAAAAGAGACTGTGTGCTCTCCTACATAAAGTTTTCTTTGCTAATACAACAATAATACAGTGGTATTGTTTACCTCCTGATTTCAGTCATTGCAACCCTTCACAGTTGCACTTTCTTATGACATGAAAGAAAAATCATATTGCTCACAGACAGAAAATACGAGTTTATCATCTTGACCTGTTCTGCCTTGCTCTTTCTTCAGTTTTGTAGGTAGAGAACAGGCAAAGAACAAGTTGTCCTTGCATGAGGGGAGCACAGAGTACATCTGGAAGCTGGAGGTACAGGAAGAAGTAACAGCAAACACATCTAACATTTCTTCTGCTGTCTCCACTCATTTGGACAGTATTTTAAATGTCCTCTTCAGCCAGTGGTATTGGGATCAAACAACATCTTTGGAAGCTTTAAAGCATCTGGAGATACAGGAATTTCTTTCAATCACTAGAAATGAATATATAGGATGAGAAACTGAACTCCATTTGGGTACAGACTCCTCACAGCACCGCTGACTTTTCTCAAAAACTCTGAGTACAGTTCATCATCGTTCATCTTGAAAAAGAAAAGGGAGCAGGGTAGGAACTCTTCATGGCTTATCAGTATCACCCATGGAATATAAAGCAAAATTTCTCTCTGCTTTGAATTTCTGAAGATACCATCCCTCGATGACATGCTTCCTTCTGCTGCAGCCTGAGGTGAGTCTTTAGGTGCTCATGAGCAGTGCTGGTTTACTGACTTGGGCTGAGGTGCAAACTTGCTCTTGTAATTGCTTCTTCTTCTCAGATCCCAGGGTACTCAGTGCCTTGCATGAATATGGCAAAACAAATCTGGTGCCAAGTGCGTGTCTTGACTTCAAAACCAGCATAAAATTACTCAGAATGCACATGGCAGCAGCAAGTAACCCGTGGTTTTAAGAATTATTTATTTGTTTTTGTAAACAACCTCATTTTTAAAGAAATTAAAAATACATCAAAAAGTCTGTCTCTACATATATACACAGTACATGTTCAAATTTCACTTCATTGTGATGCCATGGTTTAAGCAGAAAAGCAAAGAGTGCTTTGATCCAAAACTCAGCTGCAATACCACCACCTCTGGGGACACAGCACCTTCCTGCCTTTCCAGGAACACTTCCCCTTTTATCACCCAGACCACTTCACTTGTTCTTGATCACCTGGACAGTTTTCCTGCCGTAGTGGTAATAGCTGTAGGCAGATGTCACCGTTGTGAAAGCTGTGATGCACCTTTGGGGAAAAGAGTTCCTCTAAGTCATGGGGGTCTCTGGACAACATAAAAAGTGCCTTTTTTTTCTTTTTTTAGCATCTGTTGTTAACTACACAGTCAGGAACTATGCTCCACAAAAATGCAGCTGCAGTTTACAAGCTGAAATTCAGTGCTATGGGGAGGATTAGATAAACAAAGACTCTGCCATCCAGGGGTAAGCAGCATGCTTCAGTGTAACTGCATACCAGGACAAATTATCACCACACCAGCACTTGCTTTAGAGAAGGGAAAATAAAAGATTCAGCATTTGCAGCCTACATCACTTCTACCAGCTTGAGAACTGACAGATGCGAGAAACTATTCCTTGGCAGTGTGAGCAGGGAACACTGGAACCACTCAAGACTCAAACTTACCATTTTCACCAAGTTCCAAAGCTAAAGAACCAGTTCCTGCTTCAGAACTTACCATTTTCTCCAAGTTCCAAAGCTAAAGAACAAGTTCCTGTTCAGGGAAACTTTTGTTTCCCTCCCAGACCACAGACATCCCTAAATGAGCAGTGCTCCTCTGGCTGGAAGGCTGACACCACCCCCGAGGTGGGAGTCTCTGCTGCAGCCCTGCCTGCGCCTCTGCCCTCCCTGAGCACTCTGCCAGGGAGTTTCTGAGAGTATCCACAGAACACCCTGGCAAATTACACCCCGAGGCAACTCTAGATTTTGTCTTACCACCAGGATAAAAAACCACAGACTGTTAAGATCAAGGTTCATTCATAGTTCCTTAAACACTTCATGGATTGGGTTGGTGGTTTTGGTTTCTTTGGTTTGGTTGTTATTTTATTTTCCTAGAAGACAAGTAACACTGGATTTTGCACTACTTTAAGTTACTAAGTAATTCTGACATCTGCTGTTCAGAACTCTTTGTTCTGAACTCTTGCCAAAACAGCTCAGGAAAAATAACTGCACTCATAACAGCTGCAGCCAGCTGCAGCTCAGACTCAGTTCAGAGCTCCAGTGACAGCAGAAGGAACAGCATTTCTTAAGGAGGGAAGCTCCTTTATGTCTGTTCTCATCCCATCCCTCTCCTCCCTTCCCAAACTCTAGCAGGAATCACCATTTCTCCATGTGCTTTTCAAACAGGCTGTAGAAACCTGGATTTCAAGAGAGCAGGCACAGTATAAAGCAAAAATAAGAATGGCTATTATTACTGATCCCATGGCTGCTTGTTCAAGGACACTTCTGGCATGAATAAATGAGGAATCCATGCAGCCTTTCTTCCTCCTTTTTTCTCCACTCATCTGAATTTATGTTTTGCCTGTATACACCATGCCTACCCCAAAGACTTGCTTCTAAGCTATTATTCCTGGATCTTAACTAGTTTCATTAAGTACCAATAAATATCTAGTTTTCTGGTGTCAAATTTAAGACTAAAGGTGTAAAAATTCAGGCATATGGGCTTATTGCATCTTCTGGGTACAGAAGATTATTTATTCCACACAAATTAATCTTGATTACCCGCTTCTTTAGGAGCACATTAAATTATCTGGGGGAAAAAAAGTAAGATATTAGTTACCATAGTGTCTGCAGATATATGCTGTCCACATAATTGAAAACAGGTGCTGCTAAAGAAGCTGCCACCAAAATCAGCTGAACTGCTGTGTTCATCTGAGAAAAGCAAAACAGCAACTGTGAGCAACATGAAGAAGTACAAGGAATACCAACATGCACTTTTATTACTGCTTTAAGGATTAGTTTACATAAAGAAAATTTATTTAAAGAAACCTTCTTAAAATAAAGCATCTTACTCTCTCCAAATCAGCATGTGCTCTGACAGAGTACAGTTGAAAACCTTTCAGGATCTAGGTAGAGTTGGCACTATTTTCAAACTGTACTCAGCAGTTGTGTAAATTATCCCCACCCTCCAAACCACACAATGCTCCAAGTACCCAGGAGGTATCTTTTGTAACAAGTTATTGCTCTTACCTTGCTGATGAATGTTGGTTTTAATTGTGCAGTAGCATAACAGGGGTTAAAATACCTACTCAGTGTTCTCTGTTGGGAGAGAAAAGAGGAAAAAAATTGCAGCTCTTGTACATTCAGTCTGATTTACCTGTTCACACGATAAAGAAAAGACAACTGTACCACTGAAGAATTACACTGCTCTTTGTAAGATTGATTATTACACATCACACACAGGAAAAAAGTTATCAGTAGCTCTGACTTATCTTTACAAACCACATTTTATTAAAACACTGCTCTGCTCAGAAATCTATTTAGCAAAAGAACAAGCATTACATCTTGTAACCATCGAGTCTCAAGATGACAAATCTCTTGGTCACAACTTTGCCATTAATTAAGCTTATTAATGTATTTTTTGTTATGATGACACGTTTTTAATGCCGCGCACTCACCGGTGGAGAAAGAGTTTTGTATCGCACGTAAAAAACGGCGGCAATGAGTGCCGCATCCCGCAGGATAATCATGGAAGTCAGGGGAACTGCAAGACCAAGGCAACACCAGCCAGTGAGAAACTGTGCCCATGATTAAAGGTAAAACACAACCAAAAGAGCAGAAAATTAGAAGTGAGACAAAACAGCCACACCCAAATTCTCTTGAACGAGTTCTATGCATTACTGAGGGTGTTTAACACAACTCCTGAAAGGGTTTAAGCTGAAGTCTTCAAACAATCCAGTCCATGAAAAACAACTTTACAGAGCTACTATTGCTGCTTTAAAGAAAGAGCACCTAAAAAGGGCAGTCCATGCCATTTTGTATGCGGCAGCACTTGCTTTCTGTGGGGTCCCTTGGGAAGTGTTTATTGGGAGCAAAGGGCCGGAGGAGTTCCGGCAAAGCAAGAGTTCCAAGAGATACAGTTTTCCTTGTTAGAAACACAAGAAACATTGCTACACATAAACTGACCTTCTTTGCCTTATCTAGAGCACACAACTGACATTTCCTCACCTGGGATAAGATTTGCACAAGTTAGGCTCACGTAGAGCACGCTGATAAGGATTTTATCCGCCAGGGGATCGAGAGCACTTCCCAGTGCTGATTTCTGATTAGCCCAGTTCCGTGCAATAAATCCGTCCAACTAGGAAAACCAAAATTTAGTAGCTGTCTGTTAGAAGGGTATGAACCAAAACAGCCTGTGTACGCTACTTTAGACAGGTATTTAATGAAGAGTTTAACTAGGATAAAATGTGATACCTCTTAGCTAGTGTTTAATGAAGAGTTTAACTAGGATAAAATGAACTTGTATCATTTAACAGACCACCAGGTGCACAAGCACTGAGTGGCCAATGCCAACCCGGGGCTGGTCAGGGAGCCCTGACATTCCCCATTACCCCATTAGCATTAAGTCCCCTTCAGGCACCTGCAAATTCCCTTTGCAGCACCACAAAGGATATATACAGCATTCCTAGAAACCAACAAATCTAAAACCAAATGTTTTGTCCGTTTCCACTCTACCCCGGAGTCTGTTTCAGTGCATGCCCACGGGATCCCGTGAGCCCAGCGTTCCCAAAGCCTTTCCAAGCCCATGCAGACATACCAGGTCTGTCACGCCAGCCAGGACAAAGACACCGAGTGCGACGTTGAAATTCTCTTCAACAATCAAATAGCCTAAAACCGGCGCCAGACCCATTCTCGCCATGGACAGGATATTTGGGATGGTCCAGGGGTTTTCATACTGTAAAGAGAAGAAATATAAAACCTTCAGGGCAGGAACTCAAAACCCCGCCTTGGCACGTAACACAGCTTTAACCGCGACAAATACTTTTTCCGCTTAACTAGCCAGAAAGCCTGGAAAGTTCTCGGAAGCAGCCCGCGGCTTTCGCAAGGCACACGGCCTCGACCCGCTAAACATTAACTTCGACAGGAGAACACCCCGCCTGCGGCGAGGGCCCCCATGGCGGGCCCGCCCCGGCTGCGACACCTGCTCGCCCGCCGCGTCCCCGCCGTCCCTCACGTACCAGCTCGGCGTAGGGCCCCGCCGCGCCGCGCTCCAGCGCTGCCGGGGACGCGCGACCTTTCGCGGCGCCTCGCGGCGGCCCCGCCCCTCGGCCGGGCCGCGCGCTTTACGGCAGGCGGCCGGGTTGGGAGGCCGGTGCCGGGAAAGCGCTTCCCGGTGCTGTCCCGGTGCTGTCCCGCCGCTTTCCCGGCCCAGGCGCTGCCCATGGCGGCCCGGTGGGCGGCTGCCCGGGCTGATCCCGCTCCTGCTCACGGCGGGGCCGCGCCGTTGTCGGGCAGCCCTTGAGGGAGGAAGGGGAAGGTTTGCTTTGCCTCAAGGAACTCCTCAGAGAGCGCGGGTGCTCTCCGGTGCTCCGTGCTTGCCTCTGGCCCTCGCTTGCCCGCGTTCACTTGGTCTGAAGGAGAAAAGGGAACGAGTTCACTGTTCCAGGTGCAGTGTTTGTCTGCTCCTGAGGCGCGTTCCTGTCCCCAGCACTGTGCCAAGCCAAAATCAGTCTCTAACACCTTTTCCCTTTAGCTGATAGAGCACACCTCGCCCCTTAAGAGCTCCGATACAGAACTATAATTTTGTACTTAAAGCATTTCATCTGGCTGACCAGTTTTCAGTTCCGAGTATATTTGGTCCTTGATGTCCTTTAAATAGAAACTGAGGCACTAAGTTTCAGTATTTCTGCTTTCTTTTTCATCTATCGTATCTTACATAAGAATTGAAAGAGGGAAAACAAGAACCAGCACTGCAGTCCTGATTTTTAAAGTATATTTTTCTTAGGGAGGGCGTGTTGGTGTTTGTGGTTTTTTAATTCTCACACTGAAGTCTTGCCAGCTGCTATTTCATTGCACCAGACCATGGTTCTGATTTCAAAGTCAGGAAGCATTCAGCACTTCACCCGTGCTCCACACGTGGTTCTGTGCCAGGAACAGTTACACAGGAACAAACAGAACCTGTTGGTGTTACAGATCCTGTAATGGCCATTAAACAGCCTTGAACAAATCATATTTCTCATATATAAAGTTTAATGGAAGTCAAAATCCCATCCCTGCTTTACAAATTAAATATTGTAATAAGGATATTTTCTTAAATCACACTTGGATCTCAAAAGAAACCTTGGCTTCAAAGACCATGTTTCAAAGCAGAAAATCAAGTCAGTTTCAGAAAAGTGTCATTTGGTGACACCTGTAAGACAGTGTTGTCAGAACCTTCTGGAAACATTTCTAGACTTGAAATGAGCTACAGTGCTGAAGGTACAGCTGGTACCATCCTCTCAGGAAAGATTTCTGGGTCCAGCATCTCTTTCAGAAGTACAGCCCCTTATGGCACTGTAGCAGCATAAAACCACACCTTCCACTCCTGCAGGATGGTGAGGTCCCATTTGGAAGAGAGAGCTGTGGGATGAGCCAGGCAGCAATGCCAAGTGCCAGTTTGTCCTGTTGCAGCTTTCCAGTTTAATTTTCTGCAGGGGAATCTCCAGCCCAGCAAACCCCAGTGCTGTGGCAGGAGCTCAGCTCAGGATGTGCTGCAGGTCCAGCACTCCAGGGGGACAATCAGTCCAAGGGAGTTATCACAGTGACTCTTCTCACATGGTCTGGAGCTGATAAACTCTTGAACCTTTCTTCAAAAGATAACCCTGATCATTTAGGGATCCAATAAAGCTTTCAAAATCAGATACCTGGGAAGATAAAGTCAAAAATATCAAATTGGAGAATGACACCTGATGTAAAGCAACATAAACCATTTGAAAGAACTTAGTGAAATAAAGTGGGCTAAGAACAGCTCAGTTTCCTTAGCAAACTCTTCACCTACCAGGAGGTCTCACACCATCAGCCCCCTGCTTTCTGCTTTAGTTACACACTGTTTTTACTGCAGTGTTACACAGAAGCAGCATTCTCTCCCTTATGACATGAAGAAAAGGTGCAGCTACATATGTGTAAATTCCAGTTCTGAAACAGAAGTACCTACCACAGAAAAGCATGATTTCTACAACTCTCCCTGATTTCCAGGTATAAAACTTTGAATGGGCAAAAATAGTCTATATATGAAGGGAGAACTAGAGTTAAATAAATTATGAAGGGAGAATTAGAGTTAATTAAATTATCTTCAATAAGTAGTTGATGAAGCAAAAATTAGAGTTAGCTATCAATAGTTCTGTTTGGCTGAAGCCCCCACAAGTACAGAATGCAAATCAATTACAGGGCAGAATACATTTGTGGCCATGTGTCCTAGAGGATGTTCCTTTCAACATACAACCTCAGGATGTCTGAAGCAGCAATGAAAACCTGAAAGGCATATTTAATCCAGGAGGAGGTGATGCAGAAACATCATTGCACTGCTGAAATAGAGCACAGACACCACAAGTCTGAACTTGGGAACAAAAATAGGCGTGTCCTCTGGGGAGGCAGGAGGCAGCACTGAAACCACCATTGCCTTTCACAGATCAACCCAGGATCTTGCTCAGAGCCAGCCTCATCAGTCGAGTCAGCCCTTGGCAGTGCAAGGAGCTGCTGTTGCAGACAGCTGTGGGGTCAGTGAAGCTCACAGAGACACTTCAGGAGCTCTGCTCAGCCCAACAGCAGAAAGGTCATTTCTACCTTTGCTAAGCGGCACAGAGAGGTGCCTTTGCCCCCCTCCCTTTGGCAGTGAGAGCTGTGGGTGGCCTGGCAGCTGCCGAAGGGGGGCTCACCCTGAGCTGCAGCTCCCTGGCGATGTGGCGCAGCTGCTGCAGGTCGAAGAGGTTGTTGTAGGTGCTCTCAGCCACGCTGCTCAGGGCAGACACGAAGCGCTTGGCCTGCGAGCGATTGCTCATGCCAGAGCCGTGCTGGGAGCGCTCGAAGTCCAGCTTCCCAAACTCATCCGAGTAGGTGCCCAGCATGCTGCAAACAGGTTACACAAAGAGATCAAACTCTCACCAGGAGATAAAAGCAAACAGACATGGATTTGATTCCCAAAATGTGACTGCTTGAGAGAACTTTCAGAAGCCACATAGAAAACCACCCCCTATCAGGGCACTCTCTAGGGAACTTAGACTAAGCATTCATCCAAATCACTTTTGAACTTCAATTGTTCACCTGCACCAGAGAGTACTCACAGGGGAGAAAAAACCTTTCAGCATAACCTCATATGTGCGTTACTGTGACTCCCAGAACCACTGTGACCACACAACTCACAAGCCTGAGCAGTTGTATTTGACTTAGGGCTGCTGGCAGCTTTTAAAGAGCAGCTAACAAATCCAAATAGCAATATCATGGGCCTAGGCTTGATAAAGTGATTCCTTCACTGTGTTTGAATATGTAAAGAAAAGAAGTTTCAAATAAACAGCACTGTGATGCTTTTTTTCTTTTTAAAGCAGTATTTTCTATTACCTGTATTTCATTATCTCTATTACATCCTCAGCATCTTCCTTGGTAGATTTCTCTCTTAATTCCAGCCTTGATCGTGCCTTAAAACAGAAAAAGTATCTCACAAAGGTTTAAGATATATCATAACTGATGTGAAAAAGGGCTACAATCACTCCACAAGGGCTACAAGAACAAATTTCAGGAGCAGAGATAGAACCTAAGCCTACACAATTAGAGGAATATTTTTCTGGTTTTTGTTAGTGTGTCAATGTGTTCTCCTGCATACTTGCACTTTTAGGCTGTGGCATGGAGTTCATTTGCTTTTTAGCAGTGCAGCTTTGTGAAGCAGCAGATCACAAATAGTGTTGTTAAGGCAGTGTTAGGGAAAACAGAAGCAGTCTAGGTTCAAGGTGGGCAGCAGTTGTTCCTGCCTGCAACAACTTTTTCTCCTTTTGGGGAATGTGATAGATTCTATTTCCATCTCCTCAAGGGTGTTTTGCTTTATAAGAAGTTTTAAGGAACAGCAGCTCTTAAGCACTTCTAAGCCTGATGCATTCTCACTGTAAAAAATAATAGGATTTGGGCAGTATCTCAGGAATAACCTCTTTGCTTTCAATCCCTTAAGCATTCCAGCTTGCATTTACCTCTGTCAGTCGAATCAGGGACTCCAGCTGCCTCGTGGTGATGGGGGTGCTGTCTGCTCCTTGGTTCTGCTTCCGGAGCTCAAGGTAGAACTCCTGGAGGACTTGTGCAGCCTCTGGAGATAAGCTTGGGTGCACGTACTGCCGAGCGTATCCGACGTACTTCCTCAGCAGCTGATGGGGAATGGCATCAAAGTTTTCTCCTGTTGAGATCTAGCACCATTACAAAGAGTTAAATTTCTGTCAGAATTCTAAACAATAAAAAATTTAATACCAAACATCATCTTTATGCTTTATCTGGTGAAGTCATCATTATAAGGGCTTTGGTACTTTGTATATGAAAGGTGTACTTCAAATCCCCACACTATGCTCAGATATGTAAACACACACACTTGGCCATTTCAGAAAAAGCAGCCAAGGGTTCTCATCTGCAATGATAGGAAGTGCCCAATAAAATTTGTTATAAAGTTAAATCACCTCTCAAAAAGAGAAAATCCCAATTCCCACAGCTCCATAGAAGATTAAACCGTCACTGCTGATATCCTGTTTCCAAAAGTGCATGGGTTTACTTCCAGTAGGAGTATTTCTCCCAAGACCTGGCATTTGACAACATCAGCTCTCAAAGCCATCACTGAAGTCTAATGAGAAACATGCTTCCTCTCCTATACTTCCCAAATCCACGGAGCTGCAGATGCCCAAGGATTTGCTTCCACACTGCTTTATTTGGATTCAACACATCATCACAGATCACGTTATACCAAATCATTACACCCAGCCCACTAGTGTATCTCCTTACTGCAACCCAACACAGACATTTGTTCAGAGCAGCTCACGCAGCAGCCCCAGGAGCAGCCCCACCTTCAGCCTGTCGAGCAGGGGTCGGTGGGAGGTGGCCTGGAGGACAGAGTGCTCCTGGGAGCTGCCGCGGGTCACCAGGGCGCTGCTGCAGGCGGCGCGCCGGCCGGCCCGCATGGCCATCACGTGCTCGGACAGCAGGTGGTCGTGGTCCTCGTTCGGTGTGTCCAGCAGGATGAAAACCAGATCAAATCTTGACAGCAGAGCACTCCCCATTCTGGAGGAAAGACAAGGAACTTGGAGCGCTTGGAGAAGTGGAAAAATTACAGCAACTCTGTTCCACTTCAAACACAGGTAAAAGATCCTGTCCTGCTCGTTCAGAAAAAAGTACAACAGCAATTTCTGTCTCAAAAGCCACTAAAGATTATTAAATTTTGTGTTCACACTCCAAAATTCTAGAAAGCGATTGTACACCAGCTACAAGCCTGCCAGAAGCATCTACTCCTGAATGTGAATTATAAAAGCAGCATTTCAGAAAGGGCTCACTTTAGGTTCTCAGACACTGTTTTGGCTTTGTTGTAATGTCCTCCAACGGGGTTTGCTGCAGCAACAATGGATGTCCGAGCTGGCAGACTGCAAACAATGCCAGCCTTGGCCAGGCTGATGCTCTGCTGTTCCATGGCTTCCAACAAAGCCTGGTGCTGGTTTCCCATCTTATCAAATTCATCTATTCCACAAATTCCTGGAAGCAATTAAAACAGGACAAAATTTATCAGACAACACATTAACTGAAGGACAGCCGTGTCCTATAATCTAGTGCTACATCAGAAGTCCAACTTAGAACCCTAGGGGCTGCAGGAGACATTGGAAAATCTCCATTTCAGCCAGCTTTGTTTGCATTCCGTGGTAATGCAACCAAACCACTAAGAACTCAGCCTGACTTGGGGATGCAGCATTTTGGGGATTTGTTAAGATGATGAAACAAGCTTTTTAAAATAGACAACATATCTCAAAAGCAAATCCTTTTTCAAAACCAGTAAAAGTACAGAGCTGGCATCAAGTCAGACCCCTGAACAAAAAAAATCCTAGTTCCTTGACACAGAAGTCTGGTATATGAACTGGAGAACTGAAGTTTCCCTACACTCTAGGAAAGCAGGAATTGCCCCCAGAGAAGCCACTGGAGAAGCTCAGAGCTTCCCATGGTGTGGAAGCCCAGTATCATACTTCATATAAACATTTTTAGCCCACAGTTAGATGAGCACTTTGGCTTAGCTGAGATTCAGCAGCACACACTCTCCTGTCCCTTACATATGGCTATGCAGAACCTGTGGCATTCCATGGATTACCTTGATCTCCAAGCACTAAGGCACCAGCTTCCAAGGCAAAATCTCCAGAAGTGCCATCTCTGGAGAGTGTAACAGTCAGGCCAGAGCTAGTGGAAGTATTACCACAAACATACACACCTCGAGGAGCGATGTTACACACGGCCTAGAAGAGAAACAAATACTTTGGCCTTCCCCAAAGTGAAGAATTTCATAAGCCTCATTCTAGAGAAACAACTCAAAGTAACCCCAAATTTGTTTCTTTCTACTAAAGCTCTAAGTCCTTGCAACTCCAAGACACATACTTCTGCAAAGTAGGAGTAACTTTTCTTGGATGGCATTCTTTTTTCAAGTAACAATGTGAAAAAACAAATCAGTTACTCTAGGCTGGTGAGTCCCCATTCAACAAAATGAAAATAAATTTAAAAATTTTGTTTGTTAAGATGCTTGCATGCAAATCCATTACTTTGGCTAAGTGCAAATCATATCATAATGCAACAGATCCACACTAGAAAGACTTTTTAAAGAAGGTCTAGGTGAATACTGTCACTCTTTCACTTCACAGTAACCATGTAAAGAGACATGGAATTTTAAAATCATTCCGTTTAAGGAAAAAAAATCTATTACTAATTGTCATAGTCATGCAGAAATGCTTATTGAGATTAAAACCCAAACACAGGATCAGGTCCCTTTCCCAAAAAGATCTGTGCTAGCAACATAGAAATAGGGTAAGGAATGGAAGTAAACCTCACAGGAGGAGAGTCACAGGGTATCTGAAGTTGCATTTATTCAAAGGTTAATTACTTTATGTCACAATGGACCAGTTAAATAAAGACAGGAAGGAGTGAAACTGCTCACTGAGGGAAAGGGTTGGTGACAAGAACTGTAGAAGGGCAGGACAGCAAGCCTGTAAGCCTGTCCTTGAAAGCCCATGGGCCTGACCAAGGACACCTGCTTTGGTGTTTCAACAGGCTCCCTGGATGGCAGGAGAGCCCTTTGGATACTCTCCTATACTTGAGGCATCCCACATGGAAAGATAGCTCCAGCAAGGCTCAGTCAACCCTTTGATCTCAGCACAGTTATCCTACCATGGCTGCAAGTCAAGATAACAAGGAAATAGAGGAAAACAGAAAACAGTAATAAAGGAAACCATACTTGCAACATTTGACTTTTTCCTAATCCTGGATCTCCAACAACCAGAACATGTGGATCTCCTCGCACTGGGATTCTGTTCTTGTCATCCACAAACTTCTGACATCCTCCAAACAAGGCCAGGGCCAACCCTGCCTTCACAATCTGTTGTGGTAGAGGCCAACACTGGTAAGCATTCCACCGTGGTGGCCAGCACTTACAGCTCCCTAGAACTGGCTGCAACAACCTTTCCTTCAGGATCACTGAACTTAAGGGTATAAGGCTGCCACTGCCCTGGCACCAAGAGACTGTGAGCCACAGTCACCTGTAAAAACAGTCCCTGCCCCCTGCCCCTGTCCCAGATAAGCTTTGTGAATCCTTTAGCAGTTGAATGTGGCATAAACATTTCAAACTGGAATTACAAGTAGAGTTTTTAGATGACTTACCTCATGGCCATAGATTGCAGGACAAAGAGAACTGAAAAACAAAGCACAAGGTAACATAAGTGGAAGACAAATAATGTATTACTAGAAATAATCACTTGTCCTCTCTCTCATCACAGAACACCTCAATAAACATAAATTTTTTTGGATAGCTGTTGCTGAATTTCCATCAGAAATCAGCAGCATCAAATTTCTTGAAATTTTTGCATAAGCAGAAATGACTGAAACAAGAAAAGCTTTTCACTTGAGTCCCCCACAAAGACAAAGGAGAGCAGCTTCCCAGTGGTATCTGTGCCTGTTCTTGTCTTAATCAAGTAACTACCTGTAACCCTCCTTTTAAAGTGCTGGGTTTGTGTTCTTGACTCCCTGGGAGGACCTGAGGGACATCCCAGGTAGAAGAGTGCTTTTCAGTCTGAACTGAGGGCCTTTCACACCTCTGCTCAGTCCTTGCACCTCTTTCCTCTACTGTAGAAAACTGGAGGACAAAATGGTACTTGTAAGTTGAATTTACACGGTGAGGAACAAAATTAACTAATTGTTTTTCTACCCAGAGCTTTCTAAGGTTAAACTAGAACACAGGAAACTTCTTGAACTTCTAAACTGCTCCCAAAGTCCCAACATTCCCACTGCAATACCTCCCTCCTAAGTCCCTTGCCCACTGCAGTTTCTTACATCTCTGTGGTTTCTATTGCACCAGACTCAGACATTTCACAGCTTGAGGTGAACATTTGTCTGAAGGTGGCCACACTCATTCATGACTAACCCTAGATCCAGTCTAGGTCTGATATAACTTACTTCACAATGAGCCTGAACAGATTTTCCTCAGCTTGAATTTCTTGGATAGCATAGAGGTCTTTAAGAGAAAACTCCATGAACGATCTCTGAAAGGTCTCATCATCAAAATTCTTCAGTTTTTGTCCTTTACTGTTGCTGACAGAATTTGCCTCAATGTACAGTAAGAACATGCACTTGTCGTTCTTATTTTTAGAAGCTCCTGTTAGAAAAATTGAGAAAGGATGATGAAGCATTTTTTCTATTAATAAGTACTACTTATCTACTATCTTATCTACAAATGGCATAGAGTAATTCAGAAACATGATGTACAGCCATGGTCATATTTAAGTACTGAACATCTGCACTTGGTAAAATTGGTGCAAAAATACGTTTCTAGGTACATTTGTGCTTTTAAGTTCCCTTATGTACACAATACATATTTTCTTGACTTGGAATATACATGTCTAGAGAGAATTTTGTCCCAGAATAAATAAATCTTTCCAGGGATTTTAAATTATATTATTGTTGTCAAAGAAAAGTTGAATATCAAACGTTTCCACTCAATATTTTGGGGGGAAAAAAAGATGCATGGTGTGGAAGCATTAAACACATAGTGGAGTAATTATCAATTAAGAATGAATCATTTTCTATGTAGACTGATTACTGAGTAGAGAATGAAGTCTCAGAGTAAAACAGTTGCAGTTATCTGCAGTATATTCTTTCAGAGCAGTGCACAATGTATTTCTTCACTTGGGGAAAGAAAAGGAAAAAAAGAGTTGAAAAATTTCTCTAGGGAGGCTGAGATAACTCTCCTTCACAACAGTGTGACAGTTCTCTTAATGCCTGAAGGAGATACTAAAGAGAAAAATTTAAGCAAATAATGCCCTAAAATAACTCTTCATTGTAAAAGTTTGGTAGCTCCCAAAGAAATTGACACTTTATGGACTTATGGTCCGAGAGCTCCAGTTAAGGGGAGTGACTTGTTCTTGTGTAAGCACTCTCAAAAAACCCCACTGTAGGAAAAAGGAGTTCTCAGATGCTGCACTTCACCTTCCTCAGTGCTTGCCACCTTCACTATGCCTGTGACTGTGACCATGTCCCCTGGGACACAGCTGTCCACGAGATCCTGGACCAGCTCACACTCGATGGTGCGCGGGATCCGTCCTGCTTCCCGCTGGTCGTCTGACATGAGCTCCTGCACCCTGCAACACACCAGGGCAGCTGGGCACCACACTGCACCTGCCAGTGCAACTGCAGCACACAGCTCCTGCAGCTCTGGGCCTCTGCTGCAGGTCACGCCTCACTGCATGGGGGTAAACCATGCAGAAAGCCCAGAAATGCAGGAACTGTGAACTCCGAGTTGAAATTCAGATTTTCTAAAACTGATGAGCGTGTTCACGTAGAAATAAGTACAGGACATAAAGTAAAAGGGACTCATAAAAAAATGAAGAGCTCAGACATTATAGCCCCCTGGAATTCTTAATAGATATTGCAACTCTGGAAAAGTGCAAGGAATTTCTCAGACTATAACAAGAAGAGTAGCTGACTCTCTGGTTGTGAGAGTTCCAGCTCTGCCTCTGCACCTGGAGCTCGGAGATTCCCTGGAAGCCAAGCCAAGCTTTACCGAAGAAGCTGTGATGAACAGCGCCCTCTGGAGCTGCTAAGACCAGCACGAATTTTTGAATGAACATAACTTCAAACTATGACTTTTAACCCTCCAGTTCACTTCCAGCTCATTCAGGCCAAGTGGCACAGCTGACCAATGTAACCTAAAGGGTTTTTCTAGCTGACTTACAGCTCGTTAAAGGAAATAATTAAATCATACATGCAATTAGAAATTATTGAGAAATGTAGCAAAGAGAACAAACTAAGCATCTCTCCAAGAGCTCTGTAAGGGCAGAAGGAATTTCCACAAAACTGTTACAGGGTGGGTTACAAAGTATACCAGCACTTGGATAAAACAACTGCTTTGTGATACAAATGTTGGAGAGTGCTTGCTGGAAAAGAGTATGATTATTAAAGTCACACAGTGTAACACGGGTTGAGCAATCCTGTCACTTTTGGAGTGTCCTGTCACATCACATTTTTGTGCTTACTTGACAGACTGCCAGTCCACTGTGGTGGTTAGAGGAGAGCTCCTGTCAGCTGTGAAGGACCGGCCCCGGCACTCGGGAACAAGGCACTGCAACAACAGGAATTCTGACTCATTCCCAGCCTTTTTAATGTCCTAGGGTGAAACTGTCTTTTTTTTTTTTAATTAAATAAGGAAAGCAAAGCAATAAAATTCAGCATCATTCCAGGAAAAAAGCCAATTAAATTAGGGCTACAAATTAGGATGTACATAATTAACGAGGATCTATCAAGCACAGACACCTGAACACTGACTCACAGCTGTTGGAGCAAACACAGCAGCATTGTGTGATCCCCTCAGTGAACTGGTCTGAGAATGACCAGGCAGTGTCCTCTGTCCAATGACTTCTTAAGTCCAGATAATAAAAGTAAAATTAAAATAGAAATTCTAAACAAAAAACAAACAATGTAAGCATAGAAAACCACCACATCAAGGTGGAAGGGTCTTTTTAAGCACAACTGGTGAAATGGAAATTAAATGAGATAATATTTTTTTCCAGATTTCAGGGAGTTTCTATGTATTTTTTGTTACATATCCTATTCCAGCAGCATACACTTTTTACAAGTAACAAGGGTCTGAAGTAAGAAAAGTTGCAAGGTATGCTTAATTATTTTTCAATGTGTCAGTTATTTAACCCAGCTTTAAAGACTTTTTATTTTCCTTTTTTTTTTAACACCTGCGGTACTGCTTTTTGTGAAAACAAAACAAAAAAGCATGAAGTTCAATGCTTTTGGCTCACCTTGGTGGGAAGGGTGTACTTGCCATCAGGGAGAGGAACACCCTGCACATCCCCACAGGCAGCACAGACGAAGGCCAGGTTGGTGCACAGGGGTTTGATGTTGCTCACCCTCACCACGGTGCCACGCAGGGCGATGTACTTGCCGTAGCAGTTGGCCCTCACGTTTTTCAGCTGGGTTAGAGGCTCATAGTTGTACACTCTGCATTAGCACACAGAAAATGAGGACAAAAATAACCCCCAAACTCATCCAAACACAGACAAAAAATGCTACTCCCAATTAAAAAGGGTAAAATCCAGAAAAAATGCTTAGAAGTATTTTTTCGGCAGATCCATGGTACAGTCTTTGATTCTTGCTCTAGAAAGCATCAGAACATTCAATATTCTCACATGACTGACCTCAACAGCCTCAAACAGTACAGTTTGTTTATTCAGTGACACCTCTGGCCTAGCAATACATTACTTTAAGATCATCCATAACTGTATCTTCCCATAGGTTCAGATAAAGCCTGGAATTTAGACTTGTGACACAGAAAGACCAAAGTTTTATTATGGCTTTGCTGCCACCAGCAGGGAATTAAAAACAATAATAAAAAAGAAAATAAAATTTGAAAGGTAATTTGAACTCCAATAGAGCTTACACACCTAGTTCCCTCAGACCCTTGAAGTGTGAGATGCCATTACTTCTGATAAAGAAAGTTCTAAAGACATGTTTCATTAAAAACTTCTCCAGTCAACAGAAATCTAAATAATTCTGCTTTTAATCAATAGAATTCTATTTATACAATAGTTATTCTACTTATAAGCCACTTCTCTACTTACAAGCTTTTCTAGTTCAAGCTGTTTGTTCAGCTTATAAGGTTTTATTTCACTTTTTTTTTTTTCACAAAGTCATGAAGTCACAGTGAAGAGAAAAAGCAGAATATAGAGTGTTCTGGAAAAAGCTTCACAGAGCCCAGTTTTCCCTCAAACACGTAAGCCATGCATGGACAGTGGCAAGGATTAGCCAGGAGGCCAACAGCTCTTCCTTGGGAAAGGAGAAGAGCCCAGCAGCCCTTACCTGGCATGGATGAGAGGCACGTTTATGACAGGGTCCCCATGCAGGGGCAATCCCTCCTGCACCTGCAGCGCTGCCGCGTGCCTCTCCAGGTCCTTGGTGAGCACCTGCCAGCAACAGCAAGGGAACACAGATGGATTAGAGCTCCCAACAGGGAGAGACACAGGAAGGGGAACACAGATGAATTAGAGCTCCCAACAGGGAGAGACACGGGTGTCAGAACTACATTTAGTTTTAGTCAGCTGCTCCAATGATGAATAAGAAAAATGCACCAAGACCAAAGCAACTTCAAAATGTGATTTTGTGGGTCGTACAGGAAGAGGAAAGATTGAAAGATCTGAGTTTTAAACAAACTGTAATTTGAAAGAAAGAAAAGCACAGAGATGTGGGTTTTATAACATAATTGCCTCTAAGTGTCACTGATTATTTTTTGTTGTGAGGGTTCTGCTTCCATGCACCAGAACCCCGTGTTTACCTGATGAATTGCCAGACCCATACACTGCAGTATTTTCTGAGGCATGTCCCTTAGTTCAGCAGATATATTTGGTATTGATTTAGTCAGCTCTCTGTCCTGGATTAGCTCCTTATAATCCACAAGAATGCTTCCTTTTCTTTCTATTTCATCCTGGGAAACATCATAAATGATAAAATACACTTCAAATTAGAAGCAAAACACTCAAATTATGTCCTAAATTTTTCAGGTCTCTGATGGAGGCTACTTTTGATGGGAAAAAACCACTAAAAATCTGTAGTGTTCTTGTATCAACAACAGGTTGTTGGGGTGGGATATGTTTGGCTTTGTTTTTTACCTTGTCATAAAGCTCAATGCGCTGCATGAAAAACTTTTCAAAGGCTTGAGTCTTCTGGACAAAAGGAGACTTGTCATTGTAAACTAAAAAGAAACACACCACTTTAGTGACAGAAATAATTTTTTCCACTTCACAAAATACATAAACAGGTAATTTTTCTTCTATTGTTTTTCTGCACTGCAAAACTAAGGAAGATAATAAATCTCCACAGCATCCACAAAGGTTACAGTATATGATAAGAGTGAAGTCTTTATTGTATTTATGTTTTTATATATGAAATGTTGGTTGTTCTTTATTGAGCTTATAACACTACTAGTAATCAATTCTCCCAATTCTCGAAAAAAATTAACTTAAATACTTGCTACATGTAATTTTGGTCCAAAAATACCTTCAGAGAAATAAAGTTTCCAGCCCTTATAGGGAATAAATTGGTCCATCGTTGATTGGACTAGTCGAGATTTTGCTGGGGGAAGAAAAAAAAAAATGCGGATTGAAAGAATACGGACAGTGAAATTTTGCAGGTTTTATTCTCAGTGATTCTTGTGACCACAGGAGACAGACAGCTGCAATCGCCTCGCACAGTGCGTCAGAAGAAAAGCATTACGGCTTCAGAAAGCAGAAGCACAGGGGCTGGCTCACCAGGTTCGGGCATCCTTTTGGGTTCTCCCCTCTGCGCTCTGCCTCGCCATCCTCCTCCTCCTCCTCGCCATCCTCCTCGCCATCCCTGGAAGCCTCTGCCCCGGGCGCATCCCCGGCCCCTGAGGTCCCTGCTCATCTCCCGCTGCCGGCACCACTCCGACAAGCCGAGCTGAGGAGACAAATGTTACCAGAAGACGCTTAACTGACACCAGTGCTGTTTTGCAGAGCGGGCCCCGCGGGAGGCAGAGCCCTTCTCCCCTCACAGCGCCGGGGAAGGCGCGGAGCGGCCCCGGGGCCCGCCCGGCGCTCGCCGCCCTCAGCGCCGGCTCCCGC